TTCATAAGATGTAGCTGGGAAAACATAATACAGAGTAAATGATTTTCACCATCGGGTCCAATCCTGCTATAACACTTTGTAGGTTAAAGATTTCATATCTCATAGACCCATTTAAGTTAATTGAACAGAACAAAACAAAACACACAAAAAGCACAGAGCATTAGTTCCGGAAGTAATGAGCTTTGTTGTCACTTTTCTGCCTTGAATTCAGCTCCAGATCTATGAAATCACTGATTTCTTCTTTTTGTGATTACCAGACACCAAAGGTACTTACCTGAATTTATTTATTATCTTAAGCACATTACTTGATTACTGTTTGGGACACAGGAATTTGGCCTCACTCTATGTGTGGTACTTGGTGCCATCTGCACCAATGTTTTCCTCCAGAGCCAGAGATTGTTGCTTTGCAGCAGATGTCTCATTGAAGACACTTGTTAAAGTGGCCACATTAGCTGCCACCACCCTCTTTATGTTGCTGGCAGGCACTAGAAGTGCAGGAATGCTGCCATGTGAACAAAGAACATAAAGAATAAAAAGCTCCTTCCAGGTGTGTATGTGTGGGAGGGGGTTGTTTTTGTTTTCCCCTGAAAGAAAAGAAAACAAGCAATTGCTTCTGTCCTTGTGTTGGGGAACATCAGAGATGCTCTCCTCCATGCAGCCTGAGCTGGGGTTGGGACCCATCACCAGACAGTGCCCTGGCACAGCTCCTGCTTCTGCCCCAGAACCAGGCTCAGGCCTGAGGATGGTTTTGCTCCTCAGTGCTCTGATCAGCATCTGTGGGAGACATCACTGTCTGTTTGTGGTTCTGCCCAAAGAAGCAAGCATGTAACCACCCAGAGCAAGGTTCAGGTTATTCCCTCGGGCACAGCTGTACAAACCAGCTCTGTCTGGGAGGCTCCTGGAGCAAAGCTGTGGCTCTCAGCATGTTTGCACAGCAGTGGCCAGCGGATAGGAGCACAGAAAAACATGATGCTGATGAGACAAGAGATGTAACAGCTCCTATCCAACACACTCTGAGTTTTACTGTCTCACCAATGCTGGTGGCAACACCAGCATAGAGTGGAAGGCCTCGAACCGGCAATATGTTACACACCTTCCACTGCCATTAATTCAGAGTGGATGGAATTCAGGAAACTGCAGAGCTAAACCAGAGGTGATGATTAAGAAGAGGGGTGATTCATTTGCTTCATAAAGTACTATCATGTTTTATTTGCTAATCTGAAGAGCAGAACATCTTATCAGCCAGCATGCTTGAACCCGGGGAAATTTTTCAGGAAAACAGTTTTTGTTGCAGAACATGAGACTCATCAGACCAGAAACTTTGCACAAGGAAGTTCTGACCAAGAGCCAAATTATGTTTGGTTTTTTGGTTTTTTTTTAAATGTGGAAACACTGAGGTTTAAAGTATTTAAAAAACTAATTTTCTGTTTCCAGTTTGAAATGTTTTGCTAAAAACAGTTAATAAAACATTAAAAGTAGTTGGAACAGTTTCAGTCAATCGAACTTAAATATTTTTCTGCCTTTATTGTGCCTCTTCAGTGCTCGGTCATGAAAAGTTGAGTTTTACTTTTATCGCAAACCAGACAGAAGTGAAAACAAAAGAGCAGAAATTACCCATTACTGTTACAACCCTCAACTATGTGCTTTGATAAAATGTTAGTTTCAAAGGTGGTCTTCTAATGATGACTGCCAAACAAGTTGTATTCCTCTGTATGAGCTCAATACAGGGACACAAAGGCTTTACATTAATTTTCTTTTTCTAATCAGTTGTTCCCCTGGGCTCTTTTAATCTGTGGTGACAGCCTCAGTACTGCTGAGAATGCCTTTTCTGCTATTAAAACAAAAGGCACATATCTAAACACTTTATAATTTCAAGCAGAAAAGAATCTCATTCTCCTAGTTGAAGAAAGCAGCAACAAAAGAGTCATGTCCTAGAAGGCTGATGTGAATCACGGCCCTCTTCTCCTTTCATTTTTGCTCTCTGGGGACTTCCAACAGAAAGAGAGACTTAACCCAGCCAGCAAGGTAAGGGGCCATACCACAGCCACGCCCCTTGAAGGCTGAGGGATGAGAAGTGCTCCTGAAGGAATGCCTTGGAAAAGCTCTCAGCTGTTTGCAGAGTATCGCACTTCAGTCCCTGTGGAAGGGCCAGACACACTTAATATAGAAAGTATTAATGAAGAATTTACCCAACCAGAACCAGACAACGCAGCATTTTAAACCTGGAGTTTACAAAAACCAGACAAAAACTTGCCACAGCACAAGACAACTGAAACCAGACTTCACTTCACTTTGACAAAACCATAGCTCCATGCACGTCCTTTTGGGTAGTATGTTTTCACAGCACACTAATTGCCTCCATTTATAATTTATCCATTTATATTACATAAATTTCCAAATCAATTTTTTTTTAAATTCCACATTAGAAATAACTGCTTCTTGGTTCTACATTTGAAAAACAAGCTGAGCACTTTATTGTTCATTCAAACAAACTAAGTTAATTTATCACTTAAATGCATTTTCACTTCATTTTTAAGCCATTTAATCTTTCAGAAGTTTAACAACGTGGTTTACTATTGCTGTAATACAGGGAGATTTCATTAAATGACCTGCCATCTTCTATCAACATCATTATGATTGCATGCTGCCCTTGTTTTATTTTAATTTAGAGCAATTTTTTGCTCCTTGTCAACATGGGTTCTTAGCAATGTCACAGACTGGCGTGGAAAGCAAGCCAGTTGCTTCCATTTTCCCTGTGCTTAATGTTTCGTTTGCATCCCAGTTTCACAGCCATCAGTGCTTGCATGGCACTTGCAGGGCATCAAACCTGGATACTTTCCTGATGAGTTCTTCCCAGTTGGGCTTTTTTTCTGCTTTCTTACTAATCTTCATTAATTCCAGCAGTGGCAAAATGTTGGGAAGAGGAAAGGTTATCTCTACAGGCAACAATTCACAAATCACCTCAAGCTTTATAGGTTTAAGCCTTTTAAGCCTTAACATGCTAAATTTGTTTGCAAACCAACAGCAAAAGGTGCCTTACAACACGTGTACCACTTGCTCCACAACACATGAGCCACCACAGAGGCTCTTGCTCCAGCACTGGTTTCTTGTTTGGCTTTTAGGAACAAGCAGCTGGTAGCAGCAATGGGGCAGACTGTGGTGCCAATTCATGTTTCTAAGGGAAACTGCTGCAATTGCCAGGTAGTTGCAAGGTAGACAAATGAGTGCCCTTACTAGACACCACTGCCTACAAGTGCTGAAGAGGAGCAGAGGGTGCAGCAATACTGCAGCTGCAGGCTCTGGTAACATGCCACAGACAAGCCTGGGGACTTGAAGGAGCTGTGACCCTCAAGAGACTTCCAGGTGGCTTCACCACACCACCCAGATTCAGCTCCAAGTTATCTGGAACTTTCCTGTGCCGCTGACTTCCACCTTTCTGCCTCCATCTGCAAGATGCAAATCAACCATTTGTGGGTGAAATAAAGCCCTGCTCCTCTGAAGTGCCACAGTAGCCTGGCCTCTGGCAGGGTGAAGACAAGGGGGAACATCCCTCCCAGGGAGCTCTCAGGACAAAGAATCTGGAAATAAACAAGTGGTTGCTCTCAGCTAACAAAAAAGCCACTAAGAAGCAATTATTATGTATTCCCTGACAACTGTTTGCACTGAGCAATGTGTGACCCATGGTGGGTTCAGCAGTGTGAAAAACATACACATTTACTGATGAGGGGAAGAGTTAGGAGCCAGCCAGGTATCAGCTCTCTACATCCAGCCAATTAGGACCAGGTAGTGAGTTTTGGCAGGGTGGAAAGGGATGAGGATGGGGAAGCATCACTTCTTAAAACCATAGCAGTGCTAAGCACCAAATGAGATCAGGAGAACCTTGGAGATCAGTCAGGGATAAGGAGATTAGCTCCTCAGTTTCACACAGACCAATGTCATGGAAGTTTAACCTACAAGTGAAGAAGAACAAGTGAAGTGGCAATTCTGGCAGATTTTTCCATATCGGAAAAACATCATCTAAGCAATCAGAAAGTTGTCCTGAGCAGACAGAATAATGTCTAAAACATTCCTCCAAACCTACAGTGTCAAAGATAGCTTAGAATAGCAGATCTTTTATTTCTTACTTTTCTACAATAAAATGTTCCGCTTGGAAGGAAGAAAAATTCAGTGAATGCTCAGTCAAGACTCTTCTGCAGCTCAGCAGCAGCTCTAAACAGTGATCTCTGCATTGTCACTTTGACAGACTTTTACCTTGTATATTTTTCACCTTCTGCTTCCTGCCCTTGTGTAATTACCTGCCTCAGATTAGAAATGGGCCATCCATCCTACTGAAATTTAGGCCACTATTTTCAAAACAGTTTTACATATGCTATCCACAACATTAATATTCCCATGATTTCCTGTTCATGTTCAGTTGAGATGACTCTGGTCCCATAACTGCATGAAGCACCAAATGAGAAAAATACTTTTGGAGGTAATTCAGCTTGTAAAGTTCCATTTTTATTCGCTAAGATGTCTGGAAAATCACTACCACACATTAAGTCATTGCCTAGAGAATTTATTTTTTTTTTTAGAAGAGAAAGAAAAAGAAAGGCCCTCTACAGTTACCTTCATGATATTTCATGCAGTAAATTGAGTGATTAGACTCTCTGCATTTACAGAAGTACTTAGCTGTATGCGTTAGCAATACTGCAGTTTATAGAGATTTATACTTACAGAAGCCCTTTAGGGCAGGACCTCAGAGTAAAAATTCTCCTTTGTTTGGTAAATCTGTACAGTCTCACTATTTACTATTAACAAGAAATGTCATCATATTTACCAGCAGCAAACCTTCTAAAGTCTGTAAATTATCAAGTAGCTGCACGGCTAATTTATAAAACTCATTACTATTTTAAATTGTCACTATGTGTTAAAACAACCTACAATGGAGAGCATTGACTTTGACACCCAATTTCCCTCAGTTCATACTTGGGTAAGACTCCAATTGACTGGACAGACTCTTTACTTTTCAGTAGTGTTTATTATTTGCATTGCAACAGTGCACAGAAGCTTGAGCCTCTGAGCAGATCAAGGCAACAGCGACGTGGTACAAACACAGAGTAAGAGACGTTCCCTGCCCTGGAGAGCTTACACTCTAGAGAGCTGCCCCACCTTCGGAACAAGCACATTGCTTTTTCACACAAGAAAAAAAAAACATGAAATGAAACATAACCACAAGAGACTTAAGGCTGCAAAGAAGAATTTTCCACTATCAGATCAAGGACCCAATAGTAAATTACTACAGTATTTTAAAAGTGCACTATATGTAATACCCCGAGTAAGAAAGTCCCTGTCTCTGCTTAAGTGCTGAACTCCTGACTAAAATGCAAATGAAGAAGAGGACAGAAGCAGAAATCCCGTTTTAATTCAAAGGTTGCTCCCCTTGCTGTCCCTGTTTTCCCCAAAATACCTGGATCCCTTATTTCTTCAGGGAATTAACCAGCACAAGTTCAAGAGAGAAATGTGTACAACAATGGACAGTCAATGCATTCAATGTTTACAAGAAATTGGAGTTCTCCCTGAGTATTATCATGGGATGTAGATTATTTTATAACCTGATACTCCATTTTTTAATTCCTGACAAACCCCAATCTGCTCAAGAGCCCTACTACTGCAAAACTCTGCAGTCTACATCACATACATGACAAAACTATTTTTAGAACATCTACTGAAAAATCACAAGTAGTTTAGTTCAAAATAAGCCTCTCTTAGACTTTGCATTAAAATACATCTTTAAAATAACTTTCTAACTTTATAAATAGACCGCAAACTAAAACATTTAGGAGCCAAGAAATACCAAAGCTAAGAACTATCTGAAGAATTCCCCCCCTGCCCTTCTGGGCACAACAGAAATCTTACCTACTTACAGACAACATATTTTGTCTAATTTGGTGTGTGTATATCTATATATACACACACATATATGTATGCACTCATAGAGTCTGTCATTCCATGAACATTATAGGAAAAGGCAAATATTAATAGATAGGTGTAGTGGATTAACATGATGATTTATCCTGCTGTGAGTGGACTAGAGCTGGTGAAAAGCATGGAGTTTGTTCTCTGTGAAATTTCTTGTATTTCTTCCAAAATTTTAAACTCCAGGGGAGGTGGTGGGCTTTTGATGGAAGTTTTCTGGCAAACAATGGCCCAGTTTCAGGTCTGCTATGCCTGGGGAAGATCTGCCAGGCAGACTGTGGTTTGGGTTCTCAGCTTAATGGCAGACTGCCTAAGGCCCAGGGATCATTAGCTTTCAACATAATTAGCCCATCTATCAGGCAGATTAAACCGAGGCTCAGGACACCCAAAGAAATCCAAGGAAATAGTAAGGTGTGAATGCTGAGGGCGGAGGTGAGATGTGTGAATACGTATGGTCACATATGGTCGGTAAAATATTTTTTTTTCTTTTGACTGAAACATTTCAGGCGCAAATATATCTTTTCTGAAAAATAAAAAAAAGCAAAAAACCCCTAAGCATTGCTGGAAAACTTCCAAATATCTCTAACCTGTACTCCTGGTGAAGGAGATAATGCTTACTGGAAGAACCAGGACTAATTTAATGAGCAGTGGGCCTACTTTTTCAGCAATGAAGATAAAAATAAATATTGAGCAGCTGCCTACTTGACTATGCAGCAGCCACAGGCTTTAATCCATTTGATAGACCGTAAATCTGCATGGAAACCAAAGAACAGTGAAAGTATTTTATATTTATGAATCTATTATATGCATGTAATGTAACATTAACTATTTGTCTTTAGTATGTCTGCATATGTACATATCTTTTGAAATGCTACACACATACTATGTATGCATATAATATGCATATCAGTACAGAAAAATCTCTATATTGAAATCTAATTAGTTGTCTGTATTTGAAAGAGGTATTAAAGACAAAAGAAAGACTTGGCATGTTAACTGCAGCCATGCACAGTAAATACCACCCTTGTATACCCACAGTCTCTTTCTAAACTAGACATTATTGTGCTAAATTGTGTACAGGTAAAATATAATAATCAGGATGTTTCATTAGAAATATACAAATATTTAGACTTTTAGATGCACAATTTTGGGTATTACTGCCCCACACAACTGTATTTTGTAGAAGTGAATATACAGGGAAAAAGTACAGCATTTAGAAAAACACAACATTTTTCACATGGATCTAAGTTCATAGTCAAATCAAAAGAAAGCTTTTTTTTTTTTTTAGCAAAAAGCGTCACCTATTATTCCTGCATACCTTTCAAATGTTATTGTTTAAAAAAAGGTTGTGCAAGGAAGCATACAACTAAAATAGGAATCTCCAGCAGCTGTGTCAGCGAATGTGTTTGGTAAGAACCTAAACTGCCTACCTAAGGAAGATAAATTGTCTTTCCCTAAAATGGTACCAGCAATTAGCAGAATTTATTAGAGCTAGTATCCCTTCTCAGCCGGCAGGAAGAGCAGTGCCTTACGTAATTTAAAACACCAATGAGGATGTGAATTTTTTCTCTCAGGTAGACTTTGCAAGACTCTTCCCTGCTTTACCACCTCCAGGGTGAAAGAACTTCCAAGCCATTTGCTCAGGAGCAAACCTGGAGCAGCCACCTGGGGTCTGCACCCCAGGCTACAGCCACCAGCCTTCTCTTCCTGGTGAGGACAGGATTCCCAGAGCACCCAGCATCTGCTCTGGGCTCCCTGGGATTCACTTCCACCCAGTGGTTCTCCACCAGCTTTGGGAGCTTTGCTTCTCCCATTTCCTTCTAACATTTAAACTTGGCAGGCTACAGAAGCATCCACTTGGATGGGTTTCTGAGATTGGCTGGATTTTGGACAGTGAATAGCAAGGAAGACTACCAAGCGAGACTGACCTGCCAACATCACCTTTTTTTGGATTTTGGTGTTTGTCTGGTTGGTTTTTTGCCTCCCTGAAAATACCATTCCAGCTGTAGGCCACACTTAGACTCTACTGTGGATCACCTGCTATGTTTTTGGGTTTTGTAAAACAAGACCTGTCACAGCTAAGCATGCAAGATAAATTGTTACAAGTAACAGATAAATGAATACAGCCCAGAAAGAATAATTTTACCCTACTCCAGGCAAATCCCAATCAATGACCAGTTTCTGGGAAAAGTAAGTTGCTTCCTTATTTGTACATAAAGTGCCTAGTACATATCAGTGCTACTAAAGAAAAAAGATATTAATAAGAAGAGAGACTATTAATAGTATTCCTCAGGATATCTATGAGATGAGCAGACACTTGCCTCTGGGTGCTGGTAAGCAAGTGACAAACTGAGGGTCACAGTGAGCATGGTCTAGGGATAAACCCTCCAAAGCATGTTCTGAAAAATCTGATTATTTTCCTTTTTATTACAGTATTCTGACTAAAAAAATTTGCTTCTAACAACCAAAAAGATGGTTGCTACCATTAGTGGTAAAAAATGCTCTCATCAGCCATATAATGCTCTTAAAAAACCATCAACCATTCCCTGTGTCATTTGTTTTGTTTGTTTCTTCCCACGACTTCACGGAACAAACCAGTGGCTATTTCTCAATCACACCGACTTGTGCTCAGCAAACAGCTGATAACTCATTGTCACGTATGTAAATCTTTGAAGTGCAGAGCAAAGGAAAGAACAGCCCTATTTATTTCTAAAGTGAAATCCCAGCATCCAGCAGAATTTTAAAGCTGATTTTTCTAGGGCAATACTTCTTTCATCCTCCCAGTGCTAAATATTAAATAAGAGAGATCTGTCTTAATTCAAGCTGAGCTCTGACCCTTGAAGTTTTATGATGCTGTCTGTGTTTACACCAGCACAGACTATTTTTCTCCAAGCTAGTTCACATCATGCACATTACTCTCAAACTCTTGAGAATCCAGAATGTTAATGACCCTCCCTTCCCTCCTGGATCATCAGGGAATTGGGAAGCTGTGGAGTATGGATGCTGGAGAACAGTTTTCATCAGAAAGCTGGTATTATTCCTGGTTCACTGACAAGAGGCTGACTCGTTATATTAATCTTTTCTCATTTTTGGCACCTAATTGGAGTTGCAGCTTGCATTTTTTAAATAACATTTAATAGGCTATATTATTTTCTATATTTAGATAACAGATCCCATTAGTTTCACCTGCGCTTACTCAATACTTCTGCAGAATCTAATTTGTGCACTCAGTAGCAGAAGTAGCTTCATTAGCCTCTTAACATGTTTGAACTACTTGCCAGCACAAAATGAAGGCTCTGGGCAGGGATGTAACCCAGCCTATTGTACAACTTTCAACCAGCTTCATCACTGCCTTCACAAAAGAAGTAGACTTCTTTTTTCATTTTCATCACATGCCTTTCACTTCCACAAATAGCTGGGCAAAGCTGCTTGCCCACAGCCCTGCACTCACTCACAGCCATGACTTAATAGTCATCAAAAAATGAAACAACTGAAATAGTAGCTAGAGCTGTGGCATTCAGGGGAAAGCAAAGTTTGGAAATTCTTCTTGTTTTTAAACCACTTGAACTGAAAGCAGCATGTTTAACTATATAACCATGCTGCTTTAGTGGGGCAAAGGTTCTCCAGTGCACTGAGCGAGACAGGAAACCACACGAAAGAGAGCCTGTAACTAAAACTCCCCCTATCATGCACAGCTGAGGTTTTACTGGTGACCCTCTGTCAGGCATTCCTTATCGTAATTTTGTGCCTTCAAAGCTCTTTTAATATTGGCTCTTTAATCTAGTTTCTTTGGATCTCTGTAACAATTTGAATCCCTTTCCCATTGGGGAACCCCAATGACTCCAACATGGTTAATTGCCCAGGCTGGGGCAAAGCTTAAAAAAACACAAGGACAGACATCTGCAGTAGGAGCCAGCACAGCTCAGCAAGGAGTAGGTAATAACTTTGTGGATGGGTCAGTCATGGGAAGAGCGTAAAGAATCAATGAATTTCCACAATTTTTTGCTGACAGCAAGGCAATTATGAGACTATGGACCCAGAATTTTTAAGTCCTACAAGGGAGAGTGCCATATGTTGGCCAATCTCAGGCTGCTCCAGGCTCTATCTGTTAAAGTGAGTGATTTGCTGGAGATGAGCCTCCACCACAAGGAGTTGGCATTTTTCAACAGAAAAATGCTGTGTAGAAAAATTCCCAATGAACTACATTAGCTGGAATCTTCTGTGAGCTGTCAAAAGCTTGTACTTTCCCTCAACCTCATCTGAGTAGTTTGCAGCAGTCAGAGAAGAAAATCCAGCTTGACACATGTGTGGAAACCTCCCAGCCAAATGGCTGAGGCTGAGCAGAAAAACGTTTTTGGGTCTTTTTCAAATGGAGAAAATCATGCATTTACCCCTCTGCCCATCCAAGACAGTAACTCACTGGGACAACAGTCCCACTGGAGAAGAGAAGGAAGCTCAATCTCTCTTGGAATCAGGGCAATCAGAAAAATGGAGAACAAGTTTTAGAAGTAGCCTAATCAGAGATTTAAAACAAACCAAACCTAGAGGATACCACTTGATGCATGTTTTTCTGTTGTATTTTTTCTGAATCACCAAGTGCACGTAACTCCAAGCACAATTTGGGGAACTGGAGTTTGCAAACTGGCTCATAACAGATTGTCCTGAATGATTCTGGTGTCTACTCAGGTACAAAGACAAGACCCACTCTGGAGGCCCTTCTCACCACTTCTGCAAGGAGGCAGTGTATGTTCTTCAGCTAGGGACCTAACTCCATCACAGAAGGGTGATGCCCCTTTTACCCAGAGCTCTCATTTTGAGGGAAGGAGGTGAAAATGAGAAATTTCTCAGATATCTTTGACAGATGAGGAAAAGGAAAGAGATTCCCTCAATTTTTTCACCTGTAGGTAATGATAAGGGCTCTTTGCCCCTTCCAAAGCTGCTATTCCCAGGAGCTAAAGGCAGGAGCAATTTTCTCTTCCCTTCAGTCCACTTGAAAAGAGGGGAGAAGTCTGGGAACCAGATGCTACCCAACTGTGTGAAAAACAGCTTGAGTAAAACCTCTTTTTTTTCCCTCCACCCCACATAAATACACCAGCCACTTTTAGGAGAGGAAGGACTCACCTTCCTCACAATTTAAAATGAGCAAGTCTCAGACTTCTGGTAAAGTGCCCAAGTCACTCAGACACATTTTCTTCCAGCAGCTATCAAGCAGTGAAAATTATGGTCAGCTACACCTGTGGTATTCAGGGAAAAGCAAAATTCGGACCTTTTTTTTATTTTTTTTTTTTAAGCCACCTGAAACCAATCTGTGAAATATAATAAGTTGGCAAGTCACAAACACCCAGATGCCAGCTGTGTGGCACTGGTTGAAACCAGTGGAACCCCTGCAGCCATGTATTTTGCAGACAGAAGTATGTTTACAAAGATAGGGTGGAACAAAAGGTATATCTTATCACTACACTTACACTTTCAGGAAGGTAAGAAATATGCCTGGAAACTGTATCAATGGAGCTTAAAAATATTATTAAAAAGAAAAAGTATTATCAGCTTCCAATTAGCCAGGCTGCCTTAGAAATGTGATTGCAGAGTATGTCAATCTCTTTTGTCCACTTGCCCTGAATACTTTTTGAACCAACTGACTGATTTTAGCTGAAATTGGTGGAGCAACAGTCTGAGTATCATGAAACTTGATAGCTTGATTGAGGTGAGAGATGTGGTCTGAGCTGCTGTGCTCCCTCCTGGCCAGCCTGGCCGCGATGCCTTTGCAGGTGGTGAAATGAAAAGGAAATAAGGGGAGAAGAGGGTAGAGGAAAGAGGAATGGCGGTGAGGGACGAGTGTGTGAAAGGTCTGGAGGGATGGTTGGGCTTGCTGAAGCGGGAGCACAGTGTGCAGAAAGATAGGGCACAAATGAATAGAGAACCCAGGCATCACCAATTTCAGCACTCACAATAAAAAATACCCTTTAATAACTGGCTCCAAGTGGTTTGTGTCAACCAGAAATATCTGGAATTGCAGAGATTTATTCTTTTATGTATTAATAGATTTTAGTGCTTAAAATTTCAAGGCATTGCATATCTTTGCTATGGGACTCCCTTTAACCCCTTTGCTGCTGGTCCTTCGTGCATCTTCTGTGCTGCGGCAGAAGGTGACAGTTTTCCTTTGCTGTGCCGGTGCTCCATAGGCAGAAACCAGGGTATCTGTGTTGGGGTTTCTGAAGCATAAAGTGGGAAAAAGCCAAAAGAAAGACTTTTTCTTGTCCTGGGAAGGCAAGAGGGGAAATAATGAGGAAAACTATGGGTAGCATAAAGTGGTTTTTAGGATGATAGCTTAAATAAAGGAAATAAAAATGATTGAAGGAAAAACCACAAGGTAAGGGGAGGAGATATTTCAGTGCATCAGATTGGAGTCAAGTCTGTAGGTTTCTCATGTGATGTTTTGACCAAGATCACTCTCCTTAAATTCTTAGAGTGTTAAGGCCATGCTCCTGCTAGGGGATGCTTCTGATAGAGAATTTTATATAGCAACTGAATTTGCAACCTTTGCTGCATTTTATCACAGCTGACTGGCGTGAAAGTTGTCACCTTCTCCAAGATTACTCAGAGCAACACCTGAGAACTTGGCAGGTAGAATCCCAACATAGAATCTCAATTTGAGACCTCAAATGTTGAGTCTCAACAGGTTTGCTTTCTGGCAGGGAATGTAGATGGTGGAGGAGAATCACAAAGCAGGCTGTGTTCTCAGTCAGTCTGATCTTTTCAGCTCCCAATGAACAGGTGCATTTAGGTTTTTTTTTCATGGAGCAGGTCTCAATTGCCTTTTTTCCAGTCTGTGTCCCCGTGATGGTTCTTTCTCCTCTCACTTCCATGCTCCTCTTAAAAAAAAGCTAAACATAAAAGAGCATGCCTCCAGATAAGCATCTGCTTCAGGGAAGGAGACCAAGCCATCTACTGGGTTAAAAAGCCTTTCATACACCTTTCCTGCACATCCTCCTCCCCAGAGTCTCAGGAGAGCCCCCATTTCCACTTTGACTTCTGAAACAAGTCAGCAAGGGCTTGAGCTGTCTTACAGAGACTATCTGTCCTGATGTTGCTCTGATTAATCCTGCTATGGCAAACACATTGTGATGTCCACAATTTATTTAATTAATATGGAAAAAGCTGAGATTACCACACACTTAATGGCAGATATGAAAATACCTCCCAACAAGGGTTTGCCACAACCAGCCTGGATGACCTTGAAGAAGTTAAAAAAGGGCAATGACAACATTTTTCCCCCTATTTGTGTACCTGGGCACACACTAAAAATAAAGGTGTTGTTTTTCTAGAAAAAAAAATATTATGAATATAGAATTCCTTAAAATTTATTGTTAAAAAAGTGTGTGTATTTCACAAAAATAATGCTCCAATTCTTCAATGCGTGATTTTGGCAGGCAGATCTAACACCAGCCTCAAGCTGATACAAGCTGTTGAAGAACCAGATCCAACAGTTTCTTAATCTGGTACTTCTTTTACTTTACATAATTTTCATATTCATATATTTGTTGTATTCAATATCTACATAATAGTTACGGTATCCATTTGGGGCCAAAAATAATTAGTTTTATTTCTTAACAATCTTCTTCCTTTAAATGATGGTAAGCACATTTATCACCATCCCTGGGTACTTTAAAAGGTTCCTCCTAAAAATAAATACTGTAGCTTAGCTGGATCCAACCATATATGATATAACATATATGATATATTAGTCTGTAATACACGGCCATTTTGTTCTGAATTTGAAAAACTTCTTTCCGCTTGTTGCTGTGCCTTCAATGTCACTTAAGACTAAAAACAGATAAGAAGGCAATTTCTGTATGTCCCTCAAAAATTCCCATGTTTGATCCTTGAGAATTTGTTTAGCAATGTGTATATGTTGTTTAAACAAAAAGGGAAGTGAACAGTAAATAAGATCTGCCCAGGAAGATATTTATTTCATATTTTTGATGTTTGCTTTTTTTTCGTTGCTTCTCTGGAAGTGGTGTCACTTGTTGGAAGAAATTATTAATGCTCTGTTCCTTAGTAGCAGCAGCAGGAAGTCACATTTCTTATCACATGTTTCTCTTTGCAACAGAATCTGGATAAACCTCAAGCCCCCTTATGGAAAAATTATTTGTCATTTCACCCCTTTTAAAAGATTCATGTTGCTAAAGAGGGACTGAGGCCGATCTCCTGCCCTTCAGGCTAGTATCGAAACAGTGGTAAAGATTTGCAAATATCCAGTGAGAAGAGGTATAAATAAAATCTAGGGCTACACACTCTTCCTTCTCTGGGATTAGACTAGACACCACAACACAGCTAAGTTATTTATCATGTTTGGTCATTCCACAGGGAAGCAAAGGATGGGACAAGTTATTCAGAGCTTGGCGCTGCCTCTTCCCAAGGTCCAGACACCTGAATTTCTTCCTCTATCAGCAGTGGCCTACTGCTGGAGTTTCCCCTTCAGAAGGGTGGCAATGACAGTAACTCAATGTCTTGTATCCTGGGGCAAACTGGTGGTGACTCTTTGTAGAAGCTGGTGCATGGGGCTTTCTAAAAACCCAGTGGTTTCATATTCCTGTTGCCCACCAGCTCAGGAGTGCAGATGGTGCAGTTACCAGTCACTGCCTCTCCTGTCCCTCTTGCCTGGTGGAAGAGGCTGAAGCATAGCCCGAGGTGACTGCAGTATTGGAAGACAATGTTCAATTTTATTGCCTATCTCTCTGAACAGAGCAGCAGAATTTCTTCTGAAGTGACAGCCCGGCACTTGTATTTTAAACAAAACGTAAAACAGAGGAAAAATTGATTACTGCTGTGGGACATATATAGACCACATCTTTAGATTCAACAATAGCTCCTTGTTTTGAAGTGTCTCCTTCAAAAGGTGTGGAATCTAGCCACATCCATGGTTTTAACTTTTTTACAGAATGTATTTCAAAATCACTCTCCCCAGCTTCTGGCTTGGACAATTTCGTGTGTCAGAACAAGTTCCCTGGACTCCTTTATTACACCACCAAAAGTTCTCAAGCTTGATTTTGAGAAGAAAAAAAGTAAAGCCCTGTAAAAGCAAGTAATTAGACTGAACAGAAGGGCCCAAAGCTAAGGAAGGTAAAGCTCAAAGCACCATTACCGGAGAAACACCCATGAGGCCTCAGCAAAGTCATAGATGTGGAAGCTGCAAAATGTTTAACTGGAAAAAAGAACACTCTATTTACTAAGTCTCTCCTAAGCACACAGTGTGAAATTTTACTCTGAGCTGAAAAACTGAAGTAGTGGGACCTATAGAACCAAGGGATGAACTAAGAGGCAAAAGCTGCTACATTCAAACCTTTGCTCCCATCTCACTGTCCGCAGCCAAAGACTCACCACATCCCTGTGCTGCTATGTTCAGATGCAAATCACATGCTTGCCTATTTATCTGAGGGAAGATTTATTAAAGTTAGGGGAATTAGGAAATTCAGGATTTGGCAACTAAACCTGATGAAATCTGTAGCACTATCTCTTCTGTATTTGTCTTACACTTACCTATAGAGATGTGTTAAAAATTCTGCAGTTTTTACACCCAGAAGTCTGAACTATCAAGACATCTAAAAAAGTGTAATTAAGGCAAAATGTTTTGACTTTGGCATTGTGCCACAGAAGAATGTTCAAGGAAAAAGGCTGATGACTGAGAACAGTAAGAAGTTTTTCAAAGCCTTTTATGCCATTTCTGCTATTGTTTCTGTCTCTCATGGCTCCCTAGTTTCTTCACAATAGCTGTCTTTTCTGTGTTTGCCACTGAGATCAATAAAGAGATGTTAATTAAAAGAAAATCTGCTGGAGGTTGTACTTTTCTGTTGGGATTTATCACAGTCTTTGGCAGCAACACCTCACTGGCCCTGACTACAATGCCAAAAGAGGCTTGGTTTTGGCTTGTCATGGAGACATGCTTGGGTACAACCCTGACCTTTAGTGACAGCTCCACTAGCACACATGTGCCTCCTTAACATCCCCCCCACCACACGCCCTCCTCTACAGACTGACTGCTGCAAGCTTTTAGGTATACAAAATACCTTGTGAATCAACATTCCTATTCCAAATAAACCATTAAGAGACCATTAATTACCATAGCCAGTGACACATCACTCTTAAACAAGACAGATCTGCACTTCTGTCCTAAGGCCACTGTTTGTGCATCTTTGCTTCCCTGCTTTCCTTTCTGTGAATCAAAGAAAGTGTCCACATGTAAAGGCTCTTGTGCAATAGCAGTGGAGATGAGATCTTAGTGGAAGCCATGAGGAGGGATCTCACCAGCTGCTGAGATACAGACATTAATTCATGGCTACATACAGAGGTGAAGGGCAGACAGTGAAGAACTTCCCATCATCTGGCTAGCAAATGCCAATCACAACAACACAACAGGTTTTCAGTACAGAGGTCCACCAGTGGAACAATTGGGCTGTGTAAAAATGGCAAGGCAGACAACCAGCTCAGTAATATGGGTTCAAGTTCAACAGAATGTGCACTGCTGAGGGAAGGAGAAAAGCATCCTCTGACGCTCTGTGTGACAGTTACTTTCACCAGGTTCAGAGAAAGTGCACCATAAAACCGCCAGCACCCCCGCAAAAAAAGACATACTGCTGAAAATAAAACAGATAATAATGCTCATTACTGTGTATTTTGCCTGCACCTATGTGTGGGCTGAGAATCCTTTTTACTAAGTTTATTGTTTTTTAAATATATCACAAACACATGCATAGACAAAACATGAGGCATAGACCTGTCAGAGGCAGACTAATGTCAGCACTTCAGCCTCCTGGCTGTCAGGTCTGATTCCAAATAACCTTTTGTCTCTTGTTCCAGCTACTAAATTACAGATCAAGTGAAAAATGCAATTATGCCCCAAAAGGCCATCTATAACATCTTGGAATACAGTGAATTGTGAATGCAACAACAATAATGAAAAGATAAACTAGTATTATGGTGCATGGTTAATCCAACATGCTTCATGGTCCCATATGAGCTATTATAGAACTGTTTCCTATTTCCCAATTTCTCTTCTTCAGGGATACAAACAATTCCTCCCATATCCCCCCACTCCCCTGGCTCTTTTTTAAGCCTTGTGAAAAATACTTCTTCCCTGTTGCAATAAATACTCAGTTACACTGTTACTGAATTATTGTTTTTTCCTCAAGGATGATGCAGAACTTGTGTTTTTTAAAGTCATATGAAGCTGAGAATATCAAGATTCATTTTCTATGCACA